CCATCTCAGGACCCTAAGATCTCGACCTGAGCCAAAACCAAGAGTTGGACGTTCAACCAGCTGAGACATCCAGGCGCCCCACTATACCGTCTTTTTTTTTTTTTTAATTTTATTATGTTATGTTAATCACCATACATTACATCATTTTTTTTTTTTTAAAGATTTTATTTATTTATTTGACAGAGAGAGAGATAGCAAGAGCAGGAACACAAGCAGGGGGAGTGGGAGAGGGAGAAGCAGGCTTCCTGCTGAGCAGGGAGCCCGATGTGGGACTCGATCCCAGGATGCTGGGATCATGACCTGAGCCGAAGGCAGACGCTTAACGACTGAGCCACCCAGGCGCCCCATCATTAGTTTTTGATGTAGTGTTCCATGATTCATTCATTGTTTGCATATAACACCCAGTGCTCCATTCAATACCCCGTCTTTTAGTGAAATGTTAGGGCAGAGGTGTTCTTAGCTGCTTTGGATATGTACCACATAGCGAGATTCCTGCCACAAGCCTTGTGAAGGCCCTTTATGGCTAGAAACCTTCTTGCCTCCTCAGATCCCCCTTCACCTTGGCCCCACACTGCTGTGTGGATTATGCTGAGTGAAATGTGGAAAACAAGTGTCCATAAAACCCTCACAGTGAAAAAATACCTTGTATGGTCTCAGTCAGATTACTTAATACGAGTTTTGTTTCTTCAGTGCTGTTAAGATGATAATCAGTAGTGGATGTACCATTTTGGGGGCACTTTGTTCTAAGGCACTGAGTTAAGAACTTTATATTTTCTCATTTTTTTAAAGATTTTATTTGACAGAGAGCACAAGTGGTAGGGGGATGGGCAGAGGGAGAAGCAGACTCCCCACTGACCAGGGAGCCCGACGCGGGGCTCAATCCCAGGATCCTGGGATCATGGCCTGAGCCAAAGGCAGACGCTTAACTGACTGAGCCACCCAGGAGCCCCTATACATTCTCATTTCATTTCTGTGTCTGAAATATCGAAGTATTACTATATCTGCTCTGGTGATGAGTGACCAAGGACTCTTGAGAGGTGTGTTGAAGCTTCTTGGAGCAAGGAGCACGTGGTCCAGGATACAAAAGCACTTAAGTCCAGTCATAATGTCCTGCTGATGGTGACAAGTCAGTAGCTTTTGCCGCCTTTTGGTCACATCTACCTGTGCCTCTCTCAAAATGCTCAGAAAAGGTACAACGTGGGAGCTGCCAAATGATATATCCGATGATGATTCAAAGAAGTCTGTTTTAAGGTGGAGGTCCTTAATATTCTTCTGGTACCTTTAAATTAAGTTTCTATTTAATTGGAAGGGTCTTATGCATGTTAAAAATAAGCACTTTTAATAAGTAATTGTCCTAGGTAGATACATATTCTGTTCCAGAGTTCTTTTAGGAACCTTACTATGATCAGGCAATGAACAATGAGTTTCTACCATGGGCTGTTCCCATCAGTGCTCCCACCAAGTTTGATTCTTGAGTATTGCTGATTGCTTTAGATGGACTGTCTTCCTTAATCCTCACAAACAGCTCTTGTGCTGGGCATTATTACAGAGGAGGAAACTGAGGCACAGAGAGGTTGAGGCACATCAAGGCCAAGTGACGAGTAAATGACAGATCCAGGATCATTCTCTACCTTTAACCACTGTGCTCCCCTTAATGCAATATTTTGTCTCAAATCCTGATATGTCTCAGCCTCAGATGTAGACTTGTCTGGCTCCCCATTCCCCTGCCCCCAACTATCCATTTGGAAAGAGGCCTTTGGACTGAGGAGGGGTGAGAAGAAAGAGGCCAGTGGATGGCCCTGGGTGGCCTGTGCGTTTGTCTGAGTTATACCCTGGAGACACAGATCCTTGGTTAAGGCTCATGATTACTCATTTCTGAAATTGGATAGTGGTTCTTGTCCTTTTGTCTACTTTCTAGGGACATTGTTTTTGGGAGAGAGGGAGCCTCCAGGAGATGGAGAAGGATTAATTAGATTTGTACTTTACATCCAACACACCTGTAAAGGGATTTGTATGTCTACAAGGGATTATAGCTTTTTAACCAGGTTTATAATTTTGGTATTAGGAGGATTCATGCATTATGTGGAACTTCTCAACCTTTAAAAATAGGGCAATGAGAAGAATAAATTTGTTTGCTGGAGATAAATTGAACATAATGGTCCCATTATGGGAAAACATTACTGTATTTTATAGTCTAAAAGAAAAAAAAAAGGCTTTTCATAGATAAACATAATCCAATAAAAATAAATCAGTGAGGTGGTTAAAACATTATAGTGGAGGAGGGGCGCCTGGGTGGCTCAGTCGGTTAAGCGTCTGCCTTCGGCTCAGGTCATGATCTCAGGGTCCTGAGATCGAGCCCCACATCGGGCTCCCTGCTCTGCGGGAGGCCTGCTTCTCCCTCTCCCACTCCCCCTGCTTGTGTTCCCTCTCTTGCTGTGTCTCTCTCTGTCAAATAAATAAATAAAATATTTAAAAAAAAAATTATAGTGGAGGATATTTTAACCATAGAAATGGCCCATCTGGACAAGTATGTCCCATTTGTTTTTATTCTTATTCAAATAGTCTTTTCATCAGTTCTCTTATCAGTCAGGAATGAATCTACCTGTCTCTTGAAAGAGTTTTGCCTTTGTTCTACTAGCTTTGAGTCTCTTGCTTCAGTTTCTTCAGCTGTAGGTCATAAACATTACATGACATTGTATGTGATAAATCTTCATTCTTGTGATTACACGGTTTACTGAACTATTTTCAAATGGGATGGGATGATTGAGAAGATGGAAAATAAAAAGCAGCGCTGTATTATGTGGTACTCATTTGGTCACAAGTAACCAACTAAATTGAGCTGCTTACCTTCAAAAAGGGGGGGGCATTTATAATGATACACGTGTGTCTTAGAAACCCAAATGCCAAGACGGGGTGGCTCTGGGGAATGAACAGGAGCTGGAGATGAGGAAGGGAACTCTAGTCAGGGTTCATTACAAGCACATTTGTGATACAAATTCACTAGCTGGAGAGAAAAACTGGCAAAAAGCAAGTAGAAATCTATGTAGTGTAACACTTGACACTTGAGCATGGGATTTAAATACGGCTCCATTGTATTCTTTGGAAAAATCATGCTCATTATAAGAAATTCAAACAGTATTAGAAGTGAAAATCCTCTGAAATGTCAATAATCAGGGGTAATTGTAACTGTTTTGATAAACATCCTTCTAGATAAGTCTTAGGACATCTGGGAACATGCACATACAAATGGAATCACAGTGTGCATGGTCATTTACCTATTTTATTCACGTGGATATCTTTTCATATCAATAAATACAGACCTACCTCTATCATTATTTCCAGTGTCTGTATGGTTTATTTCACATGTCTCCTGTTTGTGAATCTTGAGGACATTGACTTGTTTTCTCTCATAATTACTAATAATGCTATGTATGTCCACCTTTCCGCTTATACAGTTAGTTAACTACTTTGAGTAAATCCTTAGAGGTAGCAATGCTGGATCAAAGAATGTGTCATTTCACACGTGGACAAAATAAGTGGTGGGTTACATCATGAGCTACGTCTGTAACATTGGCCGTTACCAGTCTTTGACATCTTTATCAGTCTGACAGGTTAAAAAAACCCTCAATTTTCTAAAGGTGTATTTTTTCATTGTTAGTGTAGTTGGTTATTTTTTCACATGTTTATTGCTATTATAATTCTTTTCATGGAAAGTTTATTGGCTTTGTCCATTTCGAGGGGAGTATTTTCTTACTGCTTAATTTTTTGCTTAATCAGGATAGCAACCTTTATGTGTATGTTGTGTAAATATTTTACCTAGCTTCTTATTTCACCCTTGGATGGAAATATCACCTTTTGTTCTTTGCTTTTATTTTTGACTTAATTTTGCCATTCATAAATTTAAGGGTTTTTTTCATAAATTGGAGATTTTATAAAGGTAGCCAGCCAAATGTCTCAGTCCTTTATAGTTTCAGTTTTCGATGTCAGGTTTATTTTTATTATTTTTAAAGATTTTATTTTTAAGCAATCTCTGCAGCCAATGTGGGGCTCGAACTCACAACCCCGAGATCAAGAATCGTGCACTTTACAAACTGAACCAGTCGGGCGCCCCTGATGTCATGTTTAGAAAGGCCTTTTCTGTCTGTATATTATAAAATTACTAGTGTATTCTCGTACTCCTCTGATTCTATTTGGAGTTTATTTTTTCACTGGTAGAGATCTAGACTGTTCTTTCCCTCCTCGATAGCTAACCAGCACCATTTATGAACCAGTCTCACACACCTACCCAGATATGATTCCTTATATACTTGGTGTATTTCGTATGAATACTTGGTTCTGTATCTGGCTGTTCTGTTTCATTGATTCACATGCATGTTGTCCCTCAGATACCTGTTTGTTAACTGTGGCTGAGACATTTTGACTTTTGCAGTTAATGGTGCTGCTTCTCTGCTTCAAATTGGGTTTCCAGGGACTGAGGTGCTAACTGGTCAGTTGTGAATGGCTCAGAGAACTGGGAATGGATGGGGTCAGTTGAAGCAAGAAGGGGCCACGTCACAGACACGTTAGAGAAACTACGTAGGAATAGGGTGAATGAGACAAGAAGAGCTCATATAAGCTCATTTTAAAAAGGACTAAGAGTGCCTGATCTCTGTTTTAAACACTGGGGGTGGGGGCAAGTGGGTGAGGGAATGTATATATGGGGTCTTTGTTTAAATTTGAAACCATTAAGTAGTTCTACCACAGGGAAGGGGAAAAAATGTGTTTTTACCTCTTTGACAACAGTAACATAATTTTGGTCTTTGAAATAACTGTCTTGGGACCTCAATTCCCTGTTGGTAAAGAGAATTCCCAGCCCATGTGTTGTAGCGGAAATTCATTGTTTCCTGAGTTACTTCCTTTCATGCTTAGTGTGGGGGGAAATGACCAATGTATAGATTGAGATTTTTTTTCTCCAAAAACTGACATCTCTAACATAACTTGATTCCGATGATTTTTATTAGTTTTAGGTATTGGTGTTGGAAGGCTTCTCAGATGCTTTAGGATATCTTCCGGGAAATCAACTCTTTACATAAACTGAGAATTCAGGTGAGTCCTTGAAAAAAAAATATATCTTCTTATCATTAGCCGCTCCCCTGCATTGATAAAAACATAAGTGTTGAAACATTGTCACTTACACTATCTCATTTGACATTTTCTGAGGCAGGCATGTTGCTGCCGGTCTTGCTACTTGCATTGATGTTTATTTTTTCCACCTGGTAGTTGGGTAGGGTGAAGATAGGGGCCTTCAAGACGGGATGAGGAGCTGTGTTTAGCCTCCCTGCATGAATTCTCATTTATTCACACCCGTGGGCTTTATAAACGTTTCATTTTTGAAGTATGGGATAAGGAATTAATGTAGAAAATTGTAGTAGTCTTTGCACCGTGAAACTGCTTGGTGGTTCTTGGAACCCTCCAGGGATGGCACACAGTTGCTCTAACATGAGATAAACTTTGGGCATAGGTTATGGCTTTCTCTCTTTGATAGTCCTGGGTAGGGCTGCATGATCCCAAGTAGCCGTGTGTGATGTACCCTCGGCAGGGACAAAGGTGATCTTCTGCAGGTCCTCGGTATGCCTGGATCGACCTTTGACAGGTTAAGAAGGGGTGGTTTATGCCCCTACACTCAAAAACCATATTGTGACACACCAGGCTTACCGGTTCTGTTCCTGACCAGCTGCACAACTAGGGACAGGTTGATCTTTACTGGTTTTCATATACTCATCTGTAAAACGAAGGCTGGCCCAGCCCAGCCTGCTTCTCCCCCTTCCTCTGTTCCTCCCCACTGCTCGTGTTCTCTCTCTCTCTGACAAATAGATAAAATCTTAAAAAATCAATAAACTCGACAGTGTTTTAAGTTGTTGGATAAAAGCGTACAGAATCCTCCCTTCCCACCATTGTGGGCAGCCTCTGGCCAGGTGGTATCTGACAGATAGGTGTGTACCTGAAATGTGGGGACACTGAGAGCTAGGGATGTGGTGGCCTGGATGCCTGACTCCAGGGAGACCAGTGCAAAGATCGTGTGTGAGGAGGGTAGGGCTGGGTAGCGGTGAAGGATATGGCCAAGAGTTCTGAGCTGAGAGCAGTGGGATCACATGTACATAGAATGGGGAAGAGGAAGGGAGCTGTCCTGCCCAGGACCCATCTGGTTGTGCATGTTGCCTTTTGAGGACCTACAGGGGGCACTAGGAGGTCCTGTTTGATGAAAGGGCCTGGGCACACTGGGCAGGAAGCACAGCAGACCTAAGGTTTTCCCAGGATTTCAGATCTGAAAGCAGTGTGCCAAGTGCATTCTTTTGCCATGGGTCCATACAGAATGGAAAACTGTACTTTCCATTTACTTCTCCATGGGGTGTAGGGATGTGTATGGGGCGCAGCATGGGTGGAGGACTGAATGACTAGGACAGGAAAATAATGTGGGGAAGGAGCAACAATTACACCTCTTTCAGGATGCCTACATAATCCCGGCTGCTTTGGAAAGTTCTGTGAAATTATACTGTGGCCTACATTGATTGGAACACAGTGGTGCAGTCCTTTGGAATTCCTCCCCCAGAGATTTCTGACTTTCCTTTAACATTCCTATTTTCTGGAAACTTAAATGAAATTTGACAGACTTACCTTGTATTCCCTCCTGTCAACCCAACTCTCTTAGTTTACTGCCTGATTTGTATGGTTCATTTGGGTTGCTTCCTGGGGATATTTATTTCACTGCCCTTTTTAGGGAAAAACTAGATCAAACAACAACGACAGAAACATTTGTCTGAAACGTGTAAGAATATGAGAAATTACCTGAAATCTTGACACTTTGGTGAGTGTCTAAAGTCGTGAATAAATGCTAGCAGGAGCTTTTATTTTGACATAAACCAGAGAGAGGAGAATTGCTTTAAGGGACCTGGGCCTGGCTGAGTCTGAATACAACTTAATGAATGAAAAATACAATCAATCAGTCGTGTTCTGAGTATTTCAGAAGGCCAGGCGCTGCTGGGTGAGATCTTGTAGGGATGAACAATTAAGAATTGGAGACCGCCATGTTTCCCAGGAAAAAACGTGTGCTTTTAAAGGGTTGTGTGCATGAGAGAGAAGAGAGAGATTGATAAAATGTAGACGGCGAGGGACACATGATAAATGACTTGTTTAGCATTGTACTTAATGACTCGTGATGTATTCTGGGTTTAAGAAAAGAAAAAAGTAATATTCTGAACTTATCTCCATTTTCCCTGCAGGCTTGTAAGAAAAATATTTAAAAACCAATTTTAAATGAAAAACATTGTTTTTGGCTTTCTGGGAATTTTGAATTCCCAGGGCTGTTTTCAGAGAGGGTCTTGAATCTATAAAATTCAAAGCAGGATCTACATAGCTCTTTGTCACTCTGTATCAGTCCCTTAAAAGCTATGACATCAGTGAAGGTGCATTCCTGTGCTTATTTTTCTTCATTAAAAATGTAATCTCTTATGCACTTTTGTCTTCCTGCCATCCTCCATTAGCTGGATTCTTTGGATTCCTCTGCTTGTTGGCTGTAGGCACTGCCACTTGCTCACCCCCCTGTGGGCTCCCTGAGTGGCTGGGAGTCCTAATTAGCATCATCCTAATTAGCAGCACATCCTTGATCAGGGTTCCTGGACATGTGCTAGGCTCCTCACTCTGCTCTCTGTGCCTCGTAAATGTTACAGAACAACAATGATTTCCAGATTGTTTTTCATAATTAAACCTAAGAATACATGAGTATAATAGAATATGCTGTTTCCTTACACTTTTGGCTAATTATGGTCATCAGTTAATTTCTTTCAAAGTTAGGCAGCCATGTGGAGAGCTCAAGATTTGAGGCTTTTCTCAGAATAGATCAGATTTCGTGGATTTAAGCGCTCTGTAATATTTGTATCTGCATTTAAATAGTCTCCTATTTAATCCTCAACAGAACTCCTATAGAACTCCTCAACAGAACACAAACCTTTAAAAATCCTGAGTTTTAGCTGTGAAGTCCCATATTCTGAAGACCTAATATCATCAAAGCTGTTCTGTTTGCCACAAATCAGAATTGGACAGCTTTCCAGAACCATTAAATGACTAGTTTACTTGCAGAGTTTAAACATGACTTTAAAATAGAAGTAAGCACACTGTAAGGCCAGCTGCAGTGGTAAAGGTTGAGAAAAACCCTACTGCTATGATCTAAGCAATAGTCTTAGAGAGGATCTTTCATTTAAAACAATATAAGTCAAAGTAATACATGCAAATGGTTAAAAATAGAAAATCCTGCAGAACAGCTTAGAATGAAAAGCAACAAACGTTTTTTTACCCCACTTCTTCCTTCACTTAGTCTTCCTTTTCAGAAGCAACCACCTTTTTTTTTCCCTGCAGATCATTTTCACTTTTGTGACTTCCACATAGATAAATATTATGCTTGCAACACCAGTTCTCACGTTATCAGTTTTAAGAGCTGTTAATGGTGTCTTGTTGTGATTGCTGATGAGCTCACCCTGACCATCCCTGTCTCCCTTCCTCCCTGCAGCTGATTCCCATTTTCAGTCCTATAGCTGCTTCCTCCCTGTACCTCAGCGGCCTTCTCCGTTCTTGTTCTGTCTCCTATATAGGCTGTTTCTTGTTTACCACCCCCCGCCCCCATCCACCTCTCCATTTGGGGCAGCTGTACCTTTGATTTTCCCAAAGAAAGGATGCAAGGGAGAGAAAGCATGCAAGAGGGAGAGGCAGAGACCCCCACGGAGTGGGTTACCCAACGGGGAGCTCAATCCCACCACCCTGACATCATGACCTGAGTCAAAACCAAGAGTCTGAGGCCTAGTCACCCAGGCGCCCCTGTACCTTTGATTTTCTAGTGCTCAGAGTTGGTAATATTTTGTCGTTAGTGAGGGCTTCCATGATTTTACCTGTGACTCGATTCTGCATGTGAAATCCAGAACAGCATTTACTGTGTTGTGATCAAGGTAGCATCCATTCCTGTCACAGCCCAGTCTGTGGTGAGATTATAGTCCTTCCTCTCTGAGCCTGATGGCCCCACACCTCCGTGGAGCATGTTTGAACCGATTCTCCCTTTTACGTGACACCAGCCGTTTTGGGCTCAGCCTCAGGTTTGCGTAGCCCCTCAGTCTTCCCATCCTTCCTGGAAACCCGCTTTATGTTTGGAGGTCTTACTCCCACAGCCCCCTGCCCTCCATCTTCCTCCAGAACCATTTGATCTCAAGGTATGCTGCCTGCCTCTGAGCAAGTGCCCTCGGCCAGGGAAAGCTGACCACTGTTGGAATAATAGCTTCAGGCTCTGGTGTCTTTGAAGGGCCAATAAGCTGGTGTTTAAAATTAGCCATCATGTATTGAGGATCTGATGTGTTAGGCATCTAGGTATTTGAAGCCTGGTGTCTGTTGAAATCCTCACACCAGCCCTGTGGGACAGAAGCATCGTCACTGCTTCCGTGAAGAAGTTGAGATCTGGATCAGAGACTCCTCCAAGGCCTCCGCGGGCAAGTGCTTCTTAGATCCTGGGGTGAGCTGGGGGCATAGGTGTGGTTTCATAGGTGAGAAAAGATTTGTCCCTCTCTGCAACATCTTACACCCTTTCCTCAACACACCAGACCTCCCCTCCCTCCCGGCCCCTCCCGAGACAATTGCTGCCCCTCTAAGAAAAATAGCTCTGCTTAATTCCAGCCCCGTCCTTGCTGTGGGTATACTCCGGGGCCAAGAACTCATTATACAGAATTCTGTGACTGGAAATGGGACTGTGGTGATCCTTACCTACTCCGTGTTCCCTTTGTGAATTTGAAGTGAGAAATGGGGCTTCATATATCCTCAACCCTGCTGGGAAGTGGGGAAAAGGTGCTTTGACCCTTTGAGTTGGTCATCTGCTTTATAGGCAGATAGCCCATGGTTGAGCGGGTGGAGTTACTCTAGGTCCCTCTGTTAAGTTGTGGCTTTAATGCCTGCTGCCTAAGTGCAGGTAGCGCTTACTTACCAAACAGACTGACCCATTCACTTTACGCTCTGAAGTAAGCGGAGAATGAAAGGGAAATCTTTAGAGCAGCACCTAGTTGACTTATGGAAGA